TTTTCCTGTTTATCAGATAGCCATAAGGGTAGGAGCTTTGCTTTTTCGGTTATCTGCTTTCTGCTTGGAATTTGAATGTGTCTAATGCATAATAGATACTTAATACATATGTGATGAATAAATGAATGTTCCTGAAACCATTCTCCAGTTCCTCCTAAGAACTTGTAAGCCTGCTACCTATCCATCATAGACTAGTATCACAATTGTAAAATTTCCCTTCTGGTATGTGATTGAATTTAATTTTATCTCTTATGATTTAAAGAGTATATGTTTTCTGAAAAATCCAATAACTTTTTCCACCTCGGTTCATGGAGCTGGTCTGTCTTCTTTCTTCCGTGATAAACTTGCATCCCTTCCATCTTTGTGTGCACACGTCGACACATGTGCTACGGGTCCCAAAGGACTAACTGTTCCAAGAGCTTGATGTCTTTAAAAAAAAAAAGTCCTTAGTTTCTTTAAAAATACATAATTGTTGCCTCTCCAGAGATATTTTTACAGTGTGTCCCTAGAGGAGGAATTCCAGCGGATGGCCCAATGCAGGGCAGAGGCCCATAGACAGACAGTCTGGCTCCAATTTATGCTCTGTGTTCACATGGCTAATAGGCGTTAGTATTTTGATTTAGAGAAGTGCTGTGCTTGATCCTGCCTTGGTTATACACTGGCAACATCTGGCTTAGAACCACACATTTAAAGGCCAAGAGCTATTTATTTTCTTCATCTTCCTCCTTCTCTCTCCCTCTTTCTGTCTGTCTGTCTCTCACTCTTCGTATTCAGTAAAATGTCTGGGGAATAGTTTCAGTATTTTGATAGAACAGTACACAGACTAAATTGGCAATAGTTCAACTTGCCCCCTATTAAACTCTGTTGTAGATACTTTGAACGTTTTGGAACTGTTATAATATGTATAATATATATCAGAGCTTCCACAAAACCCTGTTAGTGCCTTTATTATCCCACTTTTTTCCTATATCCAAGTTTTTGCTATCACTTCATTTTAGACCCTAAACTCAACACTCACTACAGTTAAATGCAAAAAAAAAAAAAAAAAAAAAAAAGGAGCTCTTGATTCGTAAAGTGCCCATAATTCTACAAACATCCAATGAAAATGAGCAAACATCCCTCTATAAAACTTGGGTTCAATCCAGCTGTGTGTTTCATTCTCAAATGCCTGATAAAACAGTGGAAATGCAGGCGCTGGCAGCTCCTTCACAGCAGTTTGGCAAGATGGAGGGTGCCCAGCATACAGAGACATTGCTAAGGCTACATCCACCAAATGTCCAGTCATCTTTCTTGGATTCTTAGATCTGTGAGTCTTTTAGCTGGAAAAATGCAGTGCTATAATCTGCTCACTTAGAATTAGCTGTCCCAGTGACTTAGTAAGCTGGAAAAAAACAAAAAGTAAAATAAGATATTTGAAAGTAAGCCCTCCCCAGACATTCTCTTAGAAACAAGATCACCACCTCTTACAGGCATGGTTTTCCTTGGCTTATGGCATGACTATCCCTAGCCCATCTGTGCCAAGCCTTTGGCATGGCTGACGAAACATCTCTCTTTCAACAGGCCTTGCTCTCTGGAAACCTTAGTAAAATACAGCTAGTTCACACTCCAGCAAACCACAAACCTAAACTTTCCCAGTTACAAATGATATTTTTGCCAAAATGCTTACTAAGTTCTGGCTCTCAGAGTGTGTGATGTGGAATCACCACAACTTGAAAAACAAATGACCAGCCCTCCCAGTGTCGTGGGGTTGCGTTCCAGTGGAGTGCTCAGCTGCAGTCTTCATCACACCACATGCCATGCTTGCTTGCTAGCAGATGCTTGCATTTTGTTTTGTTTTGTTTTGTTCTTTTAATTATCCTTGTTTTGTTTTGTTTTGTTCTTTTAATTATCCTTGTTTGCCTGCTTATCAGATGTACAAAATGCATTCCTCATGGATTTTCCTATCATTGTTTGAGTAGCACAGAGAGTTACGTACTTCAGAAGCATGGAATTGATCAAAGTAACAATCAAAAGGAACAGTATGTTTTCTCCCATCCCCATAAATCTGATCTGTAAATGCAAAGAATGTGAAGAATGAACATAAGAAATTAAATAATTGTATTTAAAACTTAAAAAGAAAAATTGACAAATTATAGGATAAAAGCCTAACCAACCTGGTCTCCAGAAGGAAAACCTTTTAAATCAGATGTTTCTGAACTCCTATCTGAAATGTCTATCTTTAGGGCAGTAATCATCAGAAACATAACAGAGTAGTGTGGAGCTCAGTTTTATTGTCTTGCATCAGTGAACATTCCTCAAAAGCATAGAGCGTCACTAATGGAATTATATTTTTTCATGCTATAATTACATTTGATTTTTTCTGATATTTTTGTAGACTTCGTTCATGGTTCCATGACTAGGCAGAATAGTTTCATAGAATGTCTTCAGCCCATTTAATGCCTGGGTCCCTGCAACCCTGCCAAAAAGATAGAGACTAATAATAGGAGTTTTGCAACCAAAAAAGACAAAATGTGTTTTTTCAATTTACACAACCTTTAGAGCTTTTATTTAAACAAAAATATGATCAACAAAAAAAAAAAGAAGAAAAAAGAATTTTATACTTGAAGGAAACAGATCAAGGGATCCTTCTGAACTCTGAAATCCACTGAGACACAAACTGACACACACACACACAAAATATATATATAAACATATATAAATATATATATTTATATATTTATAATATATAAAAATATAAATATACAAATATTTATAGAATAAATATATATTTTACATATATATATATATATATATATATATATACACACACTTTTTTTTTTGAGATACAGTTTTACTGTTACCCAGGCTGGACTTCAGTGGCATGATCTTGGCCCACTGCAACTTCTGCCTCCTGGGTTCAAGTGATTCTCCTGCCTCAGCATCCCGAATAGCAGGGATTACTGGCACACACCACTGTGTCCAGCTAATTTTTGTATTTTTAGTAGAAATGGAGTTTTATTGTGTTGGCCAGGCTGGTCTCAAACTCCTGATCTCAAATGATCTGCCTACCTCAGCCTCCCAAAGTGCTGGGATTACAGGGGTGAGCCACCGTGCAGGGCCTACTTATCAATAATTTTATTCTTGTTTTGAATGAGTGTTTGTTGGGTGAAACAGAACTGATTTGATCTTTGGGTATATCGTCCCAAATGGTTCTGTCTCTGGAAGACAGATGAATCTAGCAGCACAGTCAAGCCACTGGATGACAAAATACCAGGATGCCATCAAGTATATGAAGAGTCAGCATCCATTTCTGAAAAATGAGAATCTCTGGCTATGAAATCCATATAAATCTCCAAATGAGGAGATGTAAACAATTAGAAAATCATGCTGAAATCCAACGCATTATTATCTTAACTCTGTCTTCCCTCATATCAAGTCAGTTTAGCTCTCATACCTCAGTGATCCCTAAGCACTCAATCCCTTTTCCTTAGCATATAATTCCTATTCTCCAGGTTTTAATGGCTACAGAACACAGGATGACATCTCAAATGCGTTTACATTTTAGGGCTTCCCCTGCAAAACATGATGAAAGGAAATATAGGAATAAAATGGGTTATTGTAGTGAAGGTATGAAATGAAGAGTGGTTTCTCCTTGCAAATGGAATCAGTTCAGAGCGTAGATGGATACTGCTTGTCCTGACCTGGGTTGCATGTTCTTATCATAAGTTGAGTAAAGTTAGCGCCACATTTCCCCAAGTTTAGATACATTTCTTGAAATGCCGTTTATTAGAACGTTGAAAACACAATTTCACTTCTCTTTTCTCAAATCCCTGCAGTCTGGCTCCTGGCCCAGCCACTCAACCCAAATCACCCTCTGAGGTCTTCCAAAATAACTTCTCAGCCAAAACCAATAGTATCCTTCTAGACTTGTCAGCTTTATTCAAAACCTTATTCTTCTCCCTGCTAACTCCCATTGGGTCTCAAATTCTAAGGGTTTGTCCCTTCCAGGTTTTTTCTTTTCTGTATCTTCAGAGTTGCACCTACTAGCAGTTTATCTTTAGACGTCATTCAAACTTTGATAATTTTAAATACAATGTTTGAGCATGAATTATTTCCCTATTCCAATCCCTATCCCTAAATACTCCTTACCTTTTAGTCAAATTATATCTCTTGATGCCAGACCTTCAGCTGCAGTTAATTATGGTAAAGTAACAACTCTGGTTTTAATTTTCAGCTCCTTGCTGCTGTTTAATATCATGGTTTCTGTAAACAAAAATTGAGTCATTTTAACTCTTTACTGACCCCTTCACCTTCATTAAACTTCCCAAAGCATATATTTTCTACCTGGATTACACTTACAGAACTGATGTTCTTTCAGCTATTCTCACCCTTCCCTTCTTCAGCCTTACTCAGATGCAGATTAGGCCAAACTCTACATATGTTTGGCTAGGGAGATTCCTCTTAACCTGTTGATAAAAATGCAATTAAAAATTAAGTGGTGGTTGCACCATCCTCTGCCATCTCTTCCTGTTCCACCACCAGATAACATTCTCGAGTCCTACAAATACCCAGTTGACCTACTTTTATCTATCTTTTAATTCTCATTACTTTTCATTGTTCTTAAAAAGACATCCTTTCTTCTTTTCAGAAGTTTGCTCTGTTCTTCAGCACCCCATCCAAGTATCTTTCTCCAGACAACTTTCCATAGATTATACGTAAACTGGGTCATATGAACTAGCTGGCTTTCTTCCTCCTTCTCTCCTAAACATACAGCTTCACCTGAAAAAGCATGCTGAGTCATCTTTACGTATGTCTAAATTGCCAGGTGTGTCTGTGCATTTGGTATGTCTGAAACTTCTGGAAAGTCACCTTTTCGGATAACTGATAAATTTTTTGAATCTTCAGTAAAAACCCATGCAGTCTCCTCCCTTTTCCACCACAGCAGTATGTGCTTAAAATATTTTTAATAATAAGTGTGTTTACTGAAATTGTACCTCATTATGTGTACATTTTCTTTACAGGATCCCCCCATGGCTGTAACCCTTGGACTCCGCATGGAAGAAATGATTTTTAATCTTGCTGATACTCATTTGTTTTTTAATGATTTAGAGGTAAGAATTTTACAAGTTAGGAATAGTGGTGTCCAACACCACACTTCTTAGATGGTTTCTGTATCTGCAGATAATCTCAAGAAAACAGAAAGGTAAAAATTTAGCTCAAGAGAAGCATAAGGTTCTTATCAAGAGGAAAAATTGTATATACAAATATAAGCAGAAAGTTAATTTGTGTTCATGAATAATACATATGTAGAACAAAAATATCTTTGAAGAGGAGATTGTTAGCTCTGCTGTCTTTACTGTCGACAGCTGCACGTGACTTGGTTCTTTCAGACACAACCCCCTTGGCACCTTTGGAATCAGCATTAGCTTTTCCAGATTATTAACCAGGAACCTACTTAGGTTAATCTCTAAACAATATTCACAAGCACTATTCATGGTGATATTATGGATCATTAAATTTTATGGATAATCTGAAGCCTAACTTCAGATAACATTATCATTCCCCATTTCTTTCCCTTCTGGATAAAACAGTGCTAGAACTATTTAAGCACATTTGATGCATTTAAGCACATTCATTTTTTCATTTTTAAATTTATTTTTCTATTTTGAACCTCGAATGGCAAGACAGTGTCTAAATGGCAAATAAAAGAAAGAGAAAATAAAAACAATGACAAAATGAAAGGGCCCAAGGAAGAATGGCCTCAGAGTTGTTGAATGTGTACTCAAATAAGTGATGCCATCTGTGTGCTAATGACCTCGGTTATTGGACATTCAGATGGTAGAATTTGAAATAACTAAGTAGTTCAGGTTCTTGACAGAAGTACTTCTCAGTCAAGCATAACTATGCTAAAATAGAAATTTCCCTTTCATTTTTTTCAGATGACTATGTTTAAATTTATTTTTTATCTCTTAGTTTCACAATGAAATAAAAGTTTTCATCTGTAATTATATTACAAATTGAGAGGGAGATTATACTACTGAACCGTTACATTGTTCAACATATTTTATGTTGGACTTTCCATTAATTACTTAACAATGTGTTGAAGTAAATGTGTTTATGTATATTATTTATGCAGGGGAGAAACTGTGCAGTCCACAGCATAAAAATCACATCCAAAATTACCTGCTATCTAAATGGTAGAACTGGAATTTGAAGCAGATTTGCCTGGCTCCAGAGCACATACTTCTGAACCATCCTATGCTGAAAATTTTTCAACTGTGTGAGAAAGAAAAGCCAAGTTATTGAGTGACTTAAATAAGTTTTATTTATTTTATTTTATTTTATTTTTTTAGTGACAAGGTCTTAAATCTGGTTTTAGTCATATTTGAGACATGAGAAAAAAAGTGGGTGGTTCAGTACATCCCATCAATGTGTGTGCTGAAAATCTGTGTAAAAAGCATTTTGCTGTTGTTTTTCTTTTTCTATACAGCGAGTCAGTGTTTTTACTGAATAATACAATCACTATCTCTTTAAAGAGGTGTTCTTTTTTATTCTACAGTGGACAGTGTGAAAGATCAATATTACTAGGCAAGGTTTCCAGTTTTACTTAACAAATAATAATCACCTCTCTAAAACTTGACTTAAATTGGTCCTGCTACTTATTAATACAGAATGATTTTATGTATACCTGTTAATAACAAACACATCTAATCTTTCCAGAACTTGAATTTTTAGCATACAGTGATAACTTTTGGGGTTAGTTTTTCTGGTGATCAGTATGGATGAGTTTTATTTTAAAGAGAATCCTAATATTATTAGTCCTTTCAAAGATGTAAAAAGAGAAAAGAAATTTTATTTGGTTGTACCAACTTTTATAGTGCTTAGTTTATTTGGTTAATTTTTTTTACTAGAAATAAGTGGAATAAATGAACTTTTAGCTTTTTTAGTGGCACATTAGAAGCCAGATGAAATAAATTTACTACCCAACTTTTAAACAAACACTAAAGTGAGAAGGTGAAAGTGGCATACAATGAATGTGTAACTAATTTTAGCAACTTTGAAATGAATATTGATATATCAAAAACATGTTATAGTCATGTATGGTACTTAAAGACTTTTATTTTAGTTCAGGTACTATGTTACACATATTTCAAAAATATCCGGCAGGATCTTTGATGGAAGTCGTTCCTGAGAAAATACTGGTATTGATTTTCTCTTCTCTGAGTAGACAGCTCTTTAGTTGTGTTTTAGAATGTGGTAAGAATTTCATTTGACCCAAACCCTAGAACTTAGCTATTCAACAATACTGCACTTAATAAATAAAATAACCGAGTTCAGTTATTTGACTGAACTCTCACTATACATGCATGGCGCACAGATGCTTGCACATCCAGATGGAGTACCCAAGGAAACACAAACATTTATTTCTGACTTGAGTAAACAAGCACTGAAACTAATAAAATCAAAACAAAAGCTTTCAAAAAGCATTCAGTACAGTTATCATAGCCCCCTATCCTTCTGCATTTGACTTTGAAAGGCAGCTTTACTTTCACATAATTTTTTATTTCAATAAACCTCTTATAACCAAAAATCTTCTTGGGCTCCATAACTAGAATTAAATGATTTCTACTCCTACTGACAAAAAGAATTATTCAAGAGAGTAACTCTATCATTAACGTATTACATTGTCATTGTTGTTGAATATTTAAACTCTCAGGGTGCTTTTTAAAAAAATCTATACATCTAATTGGACACTCATATCTTTAAGTAGATACTGCAGCATATATAGTAGCAGCTGTTCCTTGCATAATTCCTTAAAAGATACAAATTTAAATCCTCCTAACAGACATTTTACTGCATCCCGCCCAACTGCAGAGAAGGCAAGTCTCAGTCTACCCTCTCCACACAGAAGAGACTCCTGTGAATTTAATAAAGTGCTATTTCAGTTAGAATAACCTCCAGCAAAGAAGTCTCCAGGAAGTTTGAGATGGCAAAAGTGAGAAAGGTCTGCTATGAATAATAACTGATAAATATCAGTGACAACTTTCTGGTCACCGTGTAAGACAAAATTAAAGTATTTAAGGTTAGCTCTAGAATATTTTCAAATGTTTGAGTTCTACTAAAATTTGTTAAAGCCAAAACATTACAATGTTTTTTCAATATTTTACTTTTTGGTCAAAATGATTCTTACAAAGTTCCTCAGAGTGAAAAATAATTGAAGAACAATTATTTAGATTTTTCTAAAAATGTATATAATGGAAGTTCAGGCTTCTTTCACTGGACTGTAATCCTTCGGCAACCATCCAGAATCAACAGGCATAGTTAACTAGGCATAAATTTAAAGAGAAGTTAAAGTTGGAAAAACCTCAAACATAACTTCAAAAATGGAGTTTATGGTCCAATAAGTGTGATATGCTGTTGTCCTCAGGAGTAAAAGGTAAGTTTTTAGACAACGTATGTACAAATTGATCATGTGAGTTAATACTTAATGTCAGAGGAATTTCTCTAAAAATTACAATGAGAGGGTATTAAATATAGAAATAACTTCTGATTACCAGGGAAATTTACAAGGATTCCCTCACGTTTTAAAATATAAGTAATTTAGTATAAAAGAGAGACACAGAAATTATTTACATGAGGAAAGATTTCAGAACTTCAATGGGATGGGCAACTTTGTGCAATATTTCAATAGTGATTCATTTCAGTCTACGGACTTACCCAGTATGTCATCATCTCTAAATAAGAAATAGTTCCATCATTTAGAACTACTTTTGTGCCTCCATATTCTGGGAGAGAAACTTTATTTCCGACTTTTATGCTAACTGGTAAAATCTCTCCACTCTTTTTCTTAAAGCCCAGTCCAGCAATTACTGTCCTTGCTTGCAATACGTTTACTGGGTGTTTGCAGGGAGCATCGTGCTGCCTTTGGTTACAGTTTGGACTGCACTCATTTCAGCCAATACTCAGTCAAAGAGGGGAAGACATTTTCTAAATAACTATCCACCAGGCCATGCCTTGGACCGTCTCTGCACTCTTCTTTCTCCCTCCCCTCCACTCTTGATATAAATATCTTTTTACTCTCCTTGCTCATTCAGAATGTTTTCATTTTGTATCATCATAACATTGTGTTAGCAAATTTAACTAATTGTGCAATCCTGTAAAGAATTAGCATTTGTCTAGTATTCTCCCATTTATTTAAGAATTGTGGAGTGATTATTCTATGCCAGATGTTCCTTAAGTAGGAATATAACCTGATGAACCAAATGCCACACTCCAGGGCACTTCCAGTCAGATTAAACTTTGGGTCCCTTACGTGTAGGTGGAGATTTATTCAAAACTTACTAAACCTATGATTTCTGTTAATTATGTGAACTTTTAACTTACCTGGATTTTCAAGTTACACACCCAAAAGGTACTGATTGGGTTAGTCACTGAGTTTTGTTGTTGTTGTTGTTGTTTTATTTCGTTTTGTTTTTGAGACAGAGTTTCACTCTTCTTGTCCAGGCTGGAGTGCAATGGCATGATCTTGGCTCATCGCAACCTCTGCCTTCCGGGTTTAAGTGATTCTCCTGCCTCAGCATCCCAAGTAGCTGGGATTACAGACATGCAGCCACCACGCCTGGCTAACTTTTGTATTTTTAGTAGAGATGGGGTTTCTCCATGTTGGTCAGGCTGGTCTTGAACTCCTCACGTCAAGTGATCTGCCCGCCTTGGCCTCCCAAAGTGCTAGGATTACAGGCGTGAGCCACCGTGCCTGGCCCTGAGTTTTACATTTTAAAGGAAGCCCGAGTCAGCTCTACCGCCTTTAAAGGGGAACAGGATTAAATGCTTTCTCTGTAGAAATCTGGAGACTAGATATTAAATATTTGACTGCCAGATACTTTCAAGCTCAATAATAAATATAAATACTAACTGAAAAACCTTCGTTTAGTATGGTGTATTTTCAAATTTAAAGACTTTTTAAAAATTAATTTTAAATGCTAAGCACTATGTTTATGGTCAGAATCTGTGAGTATGAGTAAAATACTTTGAGGGGGATCAAGGAGGCCCAAGATGTTAAACCATACTTATTCTGAGGTTACTATGATATAGTTATTTATTATAAATAATTTATTTTTATTTATTGTATATTTATTATTCTGAGAACTAGGCATTTTAAATGCTCTCACCAAATTTCACCTTTAGGTCTTGTAATACTGTACTGGAACTTTGCAGATTACTTGAAGACTGACTAATAAGACTCAGAACAGCAACAAGGATTGAATCCTTACCTAGAAAAGTTACCATTTGTTCTGAACATACAATAACTTAAAATCAGGTCAATTTTGTGGGTATACTTACATAAAGTGTATTTTGCTTGGAATTTTGTAGCACATTTGAGATGATAAATCTTCATTATTTCCCTTTTACTTATAGTAGTCTTTTTGATTTGAAAATTTTAAAACTTGACCAAAAAAATGTCAGTGTCTATGATTAGTACCCTTTTTATGTGTCAAAAGACCAGGACTTTAAAATTAACACCAGCATGGTTCTTTCATGGCTCTGATCCAGCAGGAAGTCATGGAAATTTCACAGGACACTGTAATCTGAAGCAAGACCCTCTGTTGCTGCTCAATAAATGATAAATAGTAGTAACCACCTGAGATGTTCAATCCAAACAAGTTTTGTGTATCTTCAAATTAGCTGTGCTTAAGAATGCACAACAGAAATGGCTGAAAGGAAGCTCAAGTGATCACGAAGATTCAAGAGAAATTCTTACCAATAATTTTTAAGATAAAATTATTTTTTAGTTACTCTAAAGAAACCCTCATGCCGTATATTTTCTCACCCCTTTCTATGGCGCTCCTCTGGATTTAAATTGTATGGAGTAGAAATGGTGTCATTCCCCAGTAGAAGAAAATGAGTGACACAGTGAGATGGATGGGAACATGCTGCCATCTTCTGGCTGTAGTCTGATCAAATGAGAAGATGGGAAAACCTTCAAACATAGTAACAAGCATCATTTGGAAAACAAATAACCTTTTCAATGTTTTTAACAGGAGTGTGATCAAGTTCATATAGATGATGTTTCCTCTGATGATAATGGGCAGGACTTAAGGTAAGCTATGCCTTTCAGTGCTGTTTCCTACAGAAATTCAGCTGTGGAGTTTTGCACATGTAATTATTTCTTTTTAATGTATTTTGGGTGTTACAGTACCTACAGTTTTGCAACTGATGGCTTCCATGCAGCTGCAAGTAGTGCAAACCTTTGTTTGCCAACAGGTGTGAGAGGAGGGGTTGACTGGATGAGGAAGTTGGCTTTTCGTTACAGAAGAGTAAAAGAATTATATAACACCTACAAGAACAATGTTGGAGGTATGTGTGGCTTTTTAAATCTAACAAGGGGACTCTGTGTATAGTTAGAATTCAAACTGTAATTTCATGTTAAAGACAACTCTGCTGTAAAAGAAACAAGCAAAAACTCATTAAACCACATCGAGCCAGAAGTTTCTTAGAATTGGTGGGGGAAATTTTAATTACAAAGTAAAACATCCACCACTGTCATATGAATTGAGAATTCTTTATGTAACCTTCTGCCCAGACTTTTGGTCAAGATTTATAGCAGGGCATTTAGTTTACCCTTTATCAGCTGGTGCTTGGTGCATTATCAGTGAAAACCAGACGGAGGAATGGGCCAAGGCAATGGGAAGAAGACCTTTCTCAACAAGAGAGCCTCAAACATTGAAAGAGAGTTGTTAGCAAGCATTATCTTTCTGGAATCCCATCATAAATAAATATAAACAGTTATTCCTGTCATTTCAAGGACTTTAAATAGATTTATCTTTCAAAAAATCACATTTTATGACAGTCTATCTTTCTCATATGTAGTGTCAACTATGATTGTCATAGTTTTTAAAAGTTAAAATACGCTGTAGGTAATATCTAAACCATTTTATATCCCTTCTTATATTTTACAGGAGATATTCAACCCTTGATATCAAAAATGTGATCCTGCATATGCTTCTAGATATGTGATATCTTATTAGAATGAATTTTAGGTAAACAAGATGCCTAAAATTTGCTATGAGGTCACATCAGATTTATCTCCCAGGATTTTGTTTCTTTATGTTCTTCTCTTTTTTTCAAAAAAGGAAGAGTAATTAAGGAACATAAACTAGAATCCAAAATAGAATGATACATCTAAGTATACATGTGCATACTATACATGCATGTATTCACACATGTATCATAGAATACAATATAGTTAATACAATGTTCGTATAATCACATATATCCGTATACATCATGAGAGTGGGGCCATGTGTCTGGTCACCTGTTATCCCAGTGCCTAATAGTAAAACACATAATAATACTCAATAGATACTAAATAACTCCAAGAGAACAAAAAAATGTAGAGCCAAAGAGGATAATAATGTTAGCACCAAAAGGGAGCTTAGATAAGGAAGATATTTATTTCCAAATAAGAAATTGACCCCTGCAAGCTACTGACTTGAATAGGGTTCCAGAGGAGACACTCTGATTTCCTGATTTGCATAGAACTTGCTGTGCTCTATACATGACGCTTTTGTAAAATCCAATAAGTGCTTTTTCTAGTTAAAACCAATGGTGGATAAGACGTTTAACTTTAAAATAAATGTCCCCTTGGGAAATCTGAGTTAATTTTTATCAATCAGATGTCATCATTTCCTTCTTGCAGGGTATTAATAAAATTATTTTAAATTAACAAGAGCACTAATAAATAATCTTGTATCTTAGAAACTTTAAACAACCATGAAGCTACTTTCTGTCATATATGAGCATCTCTTTATTGTAATGAGGACAAATGAAACTTGCTAGAAACTATGAATTTTGATTGAAAAAAACCATTGAAATATATATGTGCTCCCAGTATTATGAAACACTATTTCAGTAAGAAACTTTCCTTTTTAATGGATTTACATGGTCTCGTTTTATCATAAAAGCAAGAATTGGATCTTTAAAATAAAAAATTAGCACATCTATATTTTTTCTTATAACATCAATGTTGTAGTCCATTATTGTCTATAACTGTCCTATACGTCAAGATTTTAGACAAAATTCTTAATTTTTTACATAAAAAAGTATTTATAGCAGCATTAGCAATAGTATTAGAAACATTGTAATAGCTACATATGATGATGCCATTGTTACTGTTTGAAAGTTGAAATGACTGTGATTATTAAGAAACTAAATGTTTTAAGACAGTCAAAACATTTGGGGTTTGTGTCCTTAGGTTGGTGGAGCCCAGCTACTCCTCCAGACCTCAAATTATCACAGTCCCTTGAAATGCAATCCAGGCAGGGGCATGTTCAAAGCTCTTTAGGTGATTGAGATCCACTGCACCAGATTCTAGGTTCATTGAGGGCAGAGATGGGGACCACTTTTCACTGTCACTACCTGATACCTAGAAGTTCAGTAAATATTCATTGAAGGAATGAATGGATAATCGGTTCAAAAATGAAAGATCAATATTGACATAAATCTGTATCTCTTTGCATTTCTGATATATACTGAAATAAAAATGATCTATTCTAAACAGAAGGGAGTCTAAACTAGATATTCTGAGAAAATATTCATCTCTCGACTCTGCCTTGCTTTTTGGTATTGCAGGACTCCTTGGCCCTGCTAAGAGGGATGCCTGGCTACAGTTGAGGGCAGAAATTGAAGGTCTGACAGATTCCTGGCTAACAAATGCACTTAAGTCTTTATCAATTATTAGCACTAGGTAAGTGGAATTGTTACCTTTCTATGTTTATCATATTGAAGGTTTAGTTCTAATTGTACAACATAGATAAAAAATGTTTTAATTCAGTGATTTGGCATGTGCATGAGAGAGAGAGAGGGAGAGTGAGAGAAAGAGAGTGTGTGTGTGTTGGGATGGGAGAAGGTTGCTGCCTCTCAATAAACAGGAGACCCTCTCCTCTTTATCTCTCACCACCCATCTCTTCTCACAGCCACTGATAATCCCCACAGAATGGTTACATGACTTCTAATGAAAAAAGAGAATTCTGTAGATGGCAAGGTACAAGGGGTGATGACAAATATAAAACAGTACTGTTTATTTAAAAAAATGCATGTTTTCTGTGTTAGTGCATAATGTATATATAATATGTATAATGTAAGCACATCAGAAAAGCAAGAGAAAGCTCTTGAAAAAATTCTAACCATTTTGTTGTTTGAACTAAACAATGAAATTCTGACCTGTGTCAGTATAGAGAACAGAATTAAATCGATTTGTAACCAGTTGTACAACCAAGAGCCGTATATGCTAATTCATAAAGTAATGTAAATCTAGAAAGTGATAAGGTAGACAACTCTACTCTGGTAAGGTAGGGTTGAATCTCTATACTGTTGATTTCCATGATTTTATATCTGAGTTAGGTGAATAAATAAAAACATGTTTAACAAGTAGGAACTAAATGATGAGAACTCATGGACACATATAGGGAAACAGCAGACACTGGGGCCTACTTGGGGGTGAAGCGTGGGAGGAGGGGAAGGATCAGAAAATAATAACTGTTAGGTACTAGACTTAGTACCTGAGTGATGAAATAATCTGTATAGCAAACCCTTGTCACACACGTTTACCTATATAAAAAACATACATATGTATCCCTGAACCTAAAATAAATATTAAACAAAGAATCTGTCAGCATTTCCGTTAATATTAAAGAGAAAATGCAGCATTTGCTTCTCTGTTTCTGTGTTAGTTTGCTAAGGATAACGGCCTCCAACTCCATCCATGTCCTGGCAAAGGGCATGATCTTGTTCTTCTTTATGGCTATGTAGTATTCCATGGTGTATACACACCACTTTTTCCTTATCCAGTCTATCATTGATGGGTATTTGGTTTACTTCATGTCTTTGCTATTGTGAATAGTGCTGCAGTGAACATGTGTGTGCATGTGTCTTTATATTAAAATGATTTATATTCCTTTGGGTATATACCCAGTAATGGGATTGCTGGGTTAAATAGTAGTTTTGTCTTTAGGTATTTGAGGAATCGCCACACTGCCTTCCACAATGGCTGAACAAATTTACACTCCCACCAAATGCCACATGTTCTCACTTATTAGTGGGGGCTAAATTATGAGAACATGTGGATATATAGAGGGAACAACACACCCTGGGGCCTTTCAGAGGGTAGAGGATGGGAGAAGGGAGAGGATCAGGAAAAAAAAAATGGATATTAGACTTAATACCTGGATGATGAAATAATCTGCACAACAAACCTCCATGATACGAGTTAACCTATGTAACCAACCCGCACTTGTACCCCTGAACTTAAAAGTTAAGAAAAGATTAATGAATAAGATGACAAATTGCTAGTTATATTAAAAAAAAAAACACCAGTATACTTAATAAATGTATGGGGAACATAGCATTCAGAGAAAGATTTGTTTGGACTAATTGAATCAGAATGCAGAAAAAGCTCGACAGGGCAAAAAAAAAAAAAGTTGATATTAAGAACATAATTGCAAATGAATAGTTGTCACATCCTGCACAGCCTCTGACCTCGTGGCACAGGCAGGAGCTGCATGGATGGCAGAAAGTCCAAAGGGAGAGCAGAGGGGAAGTAGCTTCCTACGTCTGATTGGGGAAGCCATAGTAGCTTAGTTTGTTGCTTCTGGGCACCACATTCCAGTGAGGGCTGTGGCAGGGTTGAAGCAGCCTGTGTCAAGTGTGGTAGTCACAGGAGTTTGGACTGTGGAAACCACATAAAAGAAACAGATGGAAGGAGGAGCCAGCAAGCTTAGTCAGAAGAGTCATGTGTTAATCAGGGTTACTAATTTCAACTGTTTCATATGTTAGGCTGAAAATCAATTACATTTCTCCCTGTGTCTTTAAAGGAAAGAACCAGGACCAATGAGTAGGAATCCTGCATGGGAGATTCTGGCTCTATATAAGGAGGAAATGTCTAACAGTTAAGGCCGTTTGAAATGGTACTTGCTGTCTCATGTCCTCTGTAATCGGTGACAAGAGAGACCAGAGGTCAGGGATGCTGGGGTGTGAGGACCCCTAAGCCACTGACATTATGTGTAAACTGTCGTGGAGTGTGCATTGCTGAGAAGGGGGTTGATAGCGTTCATTATTTCTAAAAGATGTCTTTTATATAAGTTAAAGAAGATTATTACATTATTAGATTATGTATTTCTATATAATTAATAAAGATTATTATTAAAAAGGTGGCTTTAAGGCAACTAAAGGAATATGTGATTTTTCAGAAATAAATAAAGATATAGCAAGGAAGGGAGGAGAAAAAGAAATCAACATACATTGAATAGTTACATGCTACGGAATTTGCTGAGTTATCCACATGTATTATCTTATTGGCATAATTGCAGTTTTGCCATTACTTTTAATGGCAAAAAACAAAATTGCTTTTGCATCAACCCAGTAGTATTCATAAAATGCCTGGAATGTCAGAAAAACAGATGCTTTGTTGAATTACATATCAGAACCCCTAGCAATATTAAGTTGCCCTCTGACCCTAATTATTCAATGAATATAATCTAAGAATAATCAAAGATGTAGGAATATATTTAGGTGACATTACCTATAATATTTAGAAATCAAAAGCCACTTAAGCAACTGAATTTAGCTTTTAAAACTTCTGGTGCATGTACATGATAGAGTAGTTTTTATACATTGTTTTGTTGGGAGAGGGAAAATAATGGTTAATAGATATAAACAGGCTCATGATCTAAATACATAAAGTAGAATACAGGAAAACAAAATCTGTATGCAAACAGAAACACTTAAAGTAAATGCACAAAATGGAGACAGCAGTTGTCTCTGAATGGTTCAATAATAATTAATGCTTTCTGTTTTCGTCTTTTTATTTGTCTTTTACAAATTTTCCTGTTATGAGTATATACAGTGTTTATAATTTAAAAAGAAAGATGTAACTCTGAATATCACACAGTGCAAGTCATGAAATTTCATATCAAAATCACGTCTCTAAACTTTAAAAGTCTCTGCTTCATTTTATTCTACTGTTTTCATTCTGTAACATTTACCTATGTATGACTTTTAATAGCCTATTGTTTCGACAAAATCGTTTGTAGAACTTTAAGCATCACAGTATAGGCATGGGTTTGTGCATTCTTCATAATAATCTGCCATTATTTGAGGCGCATCTGCCTGCCGATAGGCAATATCTGATGAATATTGAAAGGGACCATTAATTAAGGAATTTAGAGACCACAGTGACAATTTTGAATCTATTAGAAGTTATTTAGCATTAGAAAACAAACATGTCTGTTTCCTCCCTATTTTAGGAGTAACTGCGTAAATGTCTTGGTAACAACAACGCAACTGATCCCAGCGCTTGCGAAGGTTCTACTCTATAGTTTAGGAGGTGCTTTCCCCATTGAGAATATTTACAGTGCAACTAAAATAGGTAAGGAAGTTATTTTAAACTCTGTATGAAATGTGTCCACATCTGTGTGTCTCTGCACGGTTCCCTTTTTCATCGATTTCACGTAGTGCATGAAACAAATTTGGATAAAGTTCAAATTATAAAGTCCCCTGCAACTCATCGTACATATATGAATTTTCTGAGAACTGTTGCCTAGTGACATTATGAACTCAGTATGTGAGTATAGATATTTCATTCTTGTGTTTCACAGAATATCATAGCACATGTTATCTAAATAATATGTAATATCTCTAGCCATAGTGTGTAATAGTTTAATTAGTATGGAGTATAGTGTTGCCTCCTTGCATATGCAGTAATCTAGATCCAAGATAAAAATACTATTTGGCTTTGCAGGGGAGTCTTGGATGGATTGAACTAGTGCCCTTAATTATACACACACAAAAAAAAAATTAAAAGAATTTTGTGAATCAGAAAACAAAACAATAGGAATATTCATAACATGAGTGACTGGAAATCTGCATTTCCAAAAATGTGCAGTAGCAATCAAAGAACCACAACCTTGTTTATTTGGATAATATCTATTTGTGGAGCCATCTTTGATTTTTAAGTGCATTTCTCACAGACTCCAACTTTTAATAAACATTCAAAAGCAAAACTTCATCAAATTCTGCCACATTGAAAGAGTTAAAAGAAAACTGATATATTCCACTGTCTGTCAAGGAAATACTTGGGAAAATAAGTGGGTTGTATAATATGCCTTGAAGGTCAACAGACTTGGGCTCTGGCACATTGACAAGAGAAGTTCAAAATCCTAAAATCCCCCACCAAAAATAACCTGCCCTGGGCTTTGAGGAGGTCTGATGTTGGCCTTGGCAAAAGGAGCCTCCAGTTGCAGCTGTTTCAAGAGTACAGTTAAGGAGAGCCAAGCTTCCGTAGAGTAAATTTCAGTTGTCACACAGTCCAGAGCCTGGATATCAGTACCATACATTTTTAATGCAAATGTATGTATTTATGTCAGCAGTACTAATAGAAGGTAATTTTGCTTTTTGATAAATCAAATAATTTTATAGCAGAATAAACATTTATTTTAGTAAGGACAGTCTTCTACTGGCCAAATAGTTCCTTATATTTTAGTAAGGACAGTATTCTATTGGCCAAATAGTTCCTTATATTTAATCTGAAAAAGTCATTTTTATTTTTCCCTTTAAGCTAGTATTTTTTGGAGATCTGAACCATCAGATTAAGAAAAAAGGCAGAAGTAACCATGGCTGCATGAACATTCTGGGAGTGAAATTTAGAGAATAATGCCAATTTTTTATGTATGTATGTATGTATGTATTTATTTTTGAGATGGAGTTTTGCTCTTGTTACCAAGGCTGGAGTGCAATGGAGCGATCTCGACTCACCACAACCTCCGCCTCCTGGGTTCAAGCAATTCTCCTGCCTCCCGAGTAGCCGGGACTACAGGCCGCGCCACCATGCCCAGCTAATTTTTGTATTTTTAGTAGAGACGGGGTTGCACCATGTTGACCAGGATGGTCTCAATCTCTTGACCTCATGATCCACCCGCTTCGGCCTCCCAAAGTGGTGGGATTATAGGCGTGAGCCACCGCGACCGGCTGCCAGTGTTTTAAGAACAAAGAACATGTAGAAATTCCACTGTGATGTCCCCACAGTGCAATCAGAGGATACCAGTGTTGTCAGTACTGTGGCCCAGTCAGACAGCACCCTTAGTAGAAGTTATTTGAGCAGGCTAACTCTCACACACTTGAAGAAAGGCATTGTTTATCAAGGTAAATTCACTTTTAGTATTTCCTCATTTCTGAGGTGAACCTTCAGTTTTTCACTAGAACATATTTAGCTGACATGTCTATGCTACTTAAAATGGATTTTTAGAATTAAAGATTGTTAAAACTTATAGTTGCCTGTCAAGTTGCCCCAATACTCTGTTGGTAGAGAAAAACATACTATTTTCTCTAGATCAAATGCTTAACCCTAGTGACGTTTTCGGAGTGTGAAACACATTTGTTTAATCATCTGTCCTAAGTAACGCCTTACGTTATTCAAATGTGTTGATTTCAAAAACCCAGAGGTTGTGAGCTAGTTCAAGTGATGTTCAAGAGGCACTAAATTAACACTTTATGAATCTTTAGATTAATGAATGCAACGGCTGGAAGAATAAGCAGTGCATTGTTTTTCAGGCAAGGAAAGCTGTTTTGAGCGTATAGTGTCCAGATTTGGCACTAACATAACTTATGTTGTGATTGGAGATGGCCGAGATGAGGAGCATGCCGCTAACCAGGTAACGTCACTCTGAACTTTATCTCATTTATCTTCCAGGAAAAGAAAGTTGCTTTGAACGAATAATGCAAAGGTTTGGCAGAAAAGTAGTGTATGTTGTAATTGGGGATGGTGTAGAAGAAGAACAGGCAGCAAAAAAGGTAACCTGTCTCAAACAATGTTGGTGTGATACGTCTAATGCAAGCCTTTTTGTTTGCATTTCTGTAGTTTGGCCCAATGGCAGCTTGACAAATGATTTAAATTTATAGACACAAAGCGATAAGAGCATGAGAGGATCAATACTTACATTCAAATAAACCATTTGGAGTTTAGCATTTTTTGCCTGACAATAGGACATGCAGAGAAATTTAGTTATATGTATTTATGTGTTTTGATGCATACACATATAGTTAATACATACATATAGTAATACATATATTTGTGCGGGTGTGTGTATATATATGCTTATATATATGCACATATATATATTAATATACATACAATGTGCACAGATATAGATGAACCAGGGGATCTGCAAGAAAGATGAGGGGAGAGTAACCATTGTTAAGTACCTGAAATTTAGCAAGTTAAAGATTAATGAGCTCCATACAAAACTCATGTGAGTAGTTGATGAGACCTGCATACCATATGGTCCTTGTGAGTGCCTGGAAGTAGCATGCTCCATGATAAGGAATGCTGAGGGCAGATTAAATAGCTGAAGAAAAACTGCTACAAGAGATTGTAATCAGCACTACTGAAATGGGATGTATTGCTCAGATCCTTTTGCACCAATTGTGTTAGCGGTAATGTGCCTTGCATCTCCTAGAAAAGCTTCATCTGTTTTGGTGAGCCAGTGGTGCTTGATTGAAGCCAAGCAGCTGGCTTTGAACACATTCAGATCTCACAGGCCCTAAGTGTTTTAATAAGCCTTTTCATCTGGCCCATATTTCTGAAGAAGAAACCAAGGCAATTAAAAACCATTAAATGGTTGGTTCAACATCAAAAGAAGAATGGTATCAGGAGTGGCCCCCAACACCAGGCTGTCAGTCAACTCCACACTGAGATCTACTGCTGCCTTCACTGAATGATAGAAAAAGATCATCTAGCCAAGATAAAAGTGATAGAATTTGCAAAACAAAGCCAGATGAATTAATATTTTTGAACAATGATATACCAGCTTACCTTGTTTTACGTAGAAAAAAATGTTATTCTTTATTATCCTAAGGAGATTTTAAACCATCATCTAATAAAGCCTTCACCACTTGCATGTGCTGGAGTGTTTATCTGTTTTCAAAAAACAGTCAACATAAGTTTTATAGAAAAGTTTACAGCTATAAGAGAAAGAGAAAGGAAATGATGTATATTTCTAGTTGATTTAAATCAAGCAAAATGGCGAAAAAGAAAGCACTTCCACTTTAGAAGATTTGGTGACGGTATTGGCAGCCATACTTGAAAATCTCCATGCTTTTCAATTATCTTTGAGATAATGGGTTCAGGCTCTGCCTCCTACAGAACACCTCAGCCTTCATTAGCAGTGTCAATGACCCAAGACAGCACACTGGCCCCAAGCACATCCTGTGTGAGGTCAGGACTGCAGCCTCAAGAAATACAGCTTTCATTGCTGACTACCACTTACAGTGCTTCCAGTCACACTCAAATGAAGTATCTTCTGGAGTTTGTTGATGTCCTGAGTCCATGTTATGATTTTTCCTATTGGCACCATAGTTATACACAGCAAAGAGCAGCCAATGATTAGTGATACAGCCCTGCTCCTGCTAAATGTACATGTCTTTTAGCGTATAGCAATTAAATTCATGTATAATTCACTTTTCCAAACCAGTAAAGATACATGCCTTTGAAAACTAAAGCTTCACCGATTCTACCCGTTTTCCATAGCATTAATGTTTAGATTCGGTTTACCAGTTGTTATACCACTACTTACTTTATACCTAAAACTTCAGGAGGGAAAGGCATGACCCTGAATGGAAAAGAATCTCAGATAGAATGCTATTTCCAAATGGTTGTTTATGTAGGTACAGTTTTGGTGATGGTGAAGGCTTATTATTCTATTTTAAAGCACAGGTGGTTGGTTTCTCTAGTACCCAGAATGCATGCTTTTCTTTGGATGTAGCAGTAATCGCATGTGCAGAAATGTTAAGTACTGTTTTGTTGTTACAAATAGATCTGAGCTGAATGAAAATAAATGGGACTTCTGTGTGAATTCCTATGCTTTACTTTGACCTAGACATATTTTGTTTGAGAAATTTAAGAAAAAATATCAAAGTTTAGGAATAGGAATGCCTAATTGCACTCTTCTACAGAAACATGTAATGTTAATACAAGCTGCATATGTAGTTTGACATTTTCTGAAGCCACATTTTAAAAAATTAAAAAGAGATAGGTAGAATTCAATTTAATAACATGTCCACCCAGTATATCCAAAATAATTGTCTTGACATCTAATTAATATAAAAGTTATTGAAGTCACATTTATATTCTTTTTTCTTGTTGTAAGTCTTTGAAATTCAGTATGTATTTTAAACTGGACTAACCACATTTCAAGTGACCAATCGCCACAATTGACTGGTGGTTACCATAGTGTGCAGCAAGGAATTATATAAAATAAGGATTATTATGCTACTTAATTCTTAAATAAAATGTCTTTTGCATGTTTTATATCTATATGCTCATTCCCCATAGATACACGAATAGATATTTTCTACATACATATTCTAGAAGATGTTATCAGCCCAAACTTAACAAATCATGCTTTTGTTCTGTCAGTTTCTGTAGTGCAGGGTTTTTTCCTTTCCATCGTCATCGCCAGTGGGGTCTCTTTAGACTTTTATTTTCTAATTACTCCCTTTCACGAACTTGTAATGCCACAGATGTACTATATACTATTATATTATATCTTTGGAGGACCACAAACCATTGTAATGTCTAAGATTTTCTGCCCCACAAGAACTCATTTTTGTCCCCTTAGGGATGATATCTTCCCATTGAAAATGCATGCTAGAGTACTTTCTCTCAACTCTATGTCAGTGAAATAAATCAAGTCAACTCTACTGGCTTAAGTTAATGGCTTTCCCAGAAAAGTAAGAAAATTATCATCCCCACATTTTTTCTACTTTATATAGTCCTGCTTCAACTTATTTTTATACAGAAAGGAATTCATCCTCTTTCCTCCTAGATGAACAAAATTAAGAAGTTTGTCATTTTATTTTATTTTTAACTGAGAGATAGGCCTGTAAGTTTGATGCACTGATTTAAAACTTGCTTTCCATCAGCCAGGTAGTTTTCTGATGCCCACTTGCTTTCCGAGATGTTGATGTTGGTAACGATACTTCCTGAATAAATATTAAACTGTCTAAGAAAATGTTAGTATGTTAGTATTTGCTATTATGCTCACTAAAATCCAGTTCAGATCTATTTCTCTGTTACTTTGACAGTGCCGTATTGGTGCTGCCAAGCCTTCACACATGATCATCCCGCCTTTAAACTCCCTGCCCTGAACTTGGGTGGACCACACATCCCTGTGTGTGCTGCTGCTTCATTGAGACAAGTGGTTGTGATCTCTCTCCATGCCTCATTCCTTCTCCTTCTCTCTCCCATCCCTCCTTCTTCTAACCACGCAGCACAACATGCCCTTCTGGAGGATATCCAGTCACTCAGACCTCCTGGCTCTCCACCAAGCACTGGAATTAGAGTATTTGTAACTGTGTTCTGTAGCTGGAGATCCGTTTTTTATATTTCAAGTACACTGAATTTTTATGTGTGATTCAATGCCTCTGGCGCTACACATATAAATTGTCTTAATGGATGAAATCATATTTGGAATAAAAATTCCAGAATGAAGAATTCAGATTGCTGAATGGAGTTAAACTTTAGTGCTACAGAAAAGAAACTCTATGGTCTTATATTTACAACACTTTAATGGGTTCTTTAAAAAATCTATGGAGGTTGCTGGTACACACCGAATGAGTCCAAACTGGAATGAGCAGCTTTATGAAAGAACTCTCACCCTGGCAAAGCAGCAACGCACATGCTCCGTCTGACAAGGTGGTCAACGACATTCCTCAAAATGAGAGATTTTCTCAGCCCTGAGGTTTGAATATGACTTTAGCCTACCTAGCCCAGAAAATCTGAATTGGAATGCACTCAGACTGTAGAAGGACAGTCCTATCTAGACCTGTAATTTGTGTAAATTATTGATGAAAATAATTTACTGTGACTTTATTATCAGCTGACTTTCAAAGTGGATGCAATTTTTCTTTCATTTGTCGGGGAGGGGAGTGGGAGGGGAAATGGGAATATAATATTGTCTCTTTTTTAAGTTTGGCAAACAGAATGTTCATACTGATGTGTTGTGCCTTAAAGACAAGACAGCATTTGTGTGTTACAATGTAACTTTGGTTAAAATCTCTGTAGATAATGAAAAACAAAAACCTTTGTGATGATTCTTAACATGACCAAATTTAAAAGTCAAGCTCTCAGAGCTTAATTACCGCATCAGCAAGAAACTGAGTATTTGTTGCAATAAGAAAACAACAATAATAAAGGAAAGCTTGTGTTTTATTTGGGTTCTTAATAATTCCAATAATTGTATGAGGCAACTATTTGCGCATCCAACCATAAGCAGAAGATTTGGGAAAGACTGTGGGACCTTTACTTAGAAAGTGAAATGTATGTAGAATTCTCAAGTACCCCTTCTACAGTTTTGCTGGAGAAAACTAAGAGCCATATTCATGACAACTTGCACAGTTTTGAGGTTGAGACTTTTGATATGTGTAAGTTGCAGAGAGGAACATATTATCGTGCAAATCATGAGCAATTATCACATAAACGTTTTTAGAATATGCCATGGACATTGCGTCAAATTCACATTGAGTGAACGTGGCTTCAAGCTAAGTGTTTTTATTCCCAATGTCGTTGCAAAAATGATAATAGCGTCAGTGATGGAAGGCAGATCTCCCAGATGGTGTCTAATGAAAGCAATGAATCTATGAAAATTTTACCTAGAATATCATCATAAATTAAATTAGCAAGTGAGCTGGATCTTGGCAGCATCACTAAAATGACAGCAGTGAAATAGTACCTGGTTCTCCATCTGAATACATCAATGCAGGTTCTCTTCTTGACAGACTTGCATTTGTTAGTTTCTGCCTGTATCGTTACTGCGCAATGGATGGCATTCATTACCAGAAGAACCTGTCATCACTGTGTTTGCATGGTTTTTTTTTTCCTTGTGTGTAGCCCATGTTGGGAACATGATACAGGTTCTCCTCTTATTTCCTATGACATGATTTCCCTTGTGGAAATTTAAGACTTTAAGAACTAGAGTATTTTAATGGTGTCTGCACCTGCAGTTCTGTGTTTAAAATATCATAATGTGGATCCTGGAGTCAGGCTACTCGTCAGTGCCCCTAGCCAGAGGCTGGTTCATGAGTTCATCATCTGAGGCCTCGGAGGCTTCAATAAAGTCTACATTTTGCTCACAGATCACAACATTCACTGTGGAAATATGATTTCATTTCTTCAGGCTACAAACCTGTATTTCTTTACTGAATGCTAAGGCCATGTTTATATTGGGCAGAAAGATATTGAGATCCCAATTTTGCACAAGATTGTGATTTCATCTTCTAAGCCTTAAACTTACCCTTTAAATTTTGTAGCTTTTGGCTGCCTCTGCCCCAAGTACTGTTCCAGGCAAATTAAAGTTGGAATACTTTCAATAATATAAAAATAATGATAAATTTTACACATCTGTTGGCCTCTAGCTTGAAAATAGCAGTTAAAAAAATTTAAGTATTGCCTTGATTATCAGTACTTATTTTGTGCACCAAATCCTTAAATATTTATTACTGTGAATAAAAACAAATCATCTTTACTGTATAGCCTGTTTCTTTTCTTTTCTTTTTTTTTGAGATGGAGTCTTACTCTGTCGCCAGGCTGGAGTGCAGTGGCACAATCTCTGTTCACTGCAACCTCCGCCTTCTGGGTTCAAGCTATTCTCTCACATCAGGCTCCCAAGTAGCTGGGACCACAGGCGCATGCCACCACGCCCGGCTAATTTTTGTATTTTTAGTAGAGATGGGGTTTCACCATGGCCAGGATGATCTCAATCTCTTGACCTCATGATCCGCCCGCCTCGGCCTCCCCAAGTGCTGGGATTATAGGCGTGAGCCGCCGTGCCCGGCCAGCCAGTTTTTTTGAATGATAGAACTGTGGCATTACATCTAAATTTGTTAAGTCTTTTCATATCAAACAAGCAGGGCTTTTTATGCTGCTAAATTTGCAGGTGCAGAAAGAAGCATCCCATGAAAGGGCAAAGAGAAGCTGGCTGGTTGCATCACCCCATGCTGTTTCTCACACACATCTTTTTTTCTGATTCTGTGTTCAGAAGAGGCTGACAGCATAAAACATAAATGCTAGATTGACGGAGAACAGCTTGCTTGGCACAACAGTACTGCAGGCCCACTAGCCAACATGAGAGCTTGGCCACGGGACTTTGAGCATGCACAAACTAGAACTCTTCCCTTCCCACCTTAGGAACAGAAAATCCTCTTCCTCTCTAATCTGAAAAACGAAAACCGAACTAACAAACACAAAAACAACCCCTTGGCAAGTCCCACCTCCTATTTACATACAGAATATTGTGCCTTATTGTAAACCAGTTTGAAAAAATGTTCTGTAACTAAAGTGGGTTTTTGGCTGTTATGTATACAAGCTCGGTATATTACTAGAAATGATAACTACCTTGTATTGCACCTTAAAAATATCAAAACCACGTGATTTCAGTAGCAAAATAGGTGGCCTGGATACAGAATTATAGTGTACAATTAGGACACTATGCCCCTGCAAAAATATGTAAATCAAATTCAGAGACAAAAACAGATTTTAGAATCATACAGTTTGCACACAAAAAGTAGGTAATAACTGTCTCTAATAATGTTATCTCCTTAGTCTGTGATGAGCTAAGATTCAGAATAGTGTTAACAGCATGCTCCTGTATGAAGCTGTTTTTTTAAAGCACATTTGTTTATGACAGGCGTACATTCTCAGTGAATATGGCATTTAGTATTTCTTTCGAAAACAAACTTAAGCATCATGAGCCAAAGTTGCATTTTGACTCCCAACTACGGTAGCATTATGGACAGCTTGAAATGTCAAGGGTTTCTGTTATATATTAGTAAAGTATAGATTATCGGGGCCTACATAATTTAAAGAAATGTAAATTAATATTAAAAGCTTGTAAAAATATGTATATCTTTACTATTTCTCAATAAATACCTTTGCAAATGTTTTCATTTCCTTCACCCTCCCATGTTGTAGAGTTTTTGTATGTTTACATAGCTTGGCTCTGAATCATGTGAAGTTTGTATTTACATATCTGGTCTTCATAACTCTTCTTTTTTGTACTTAAGTTGCATAGTTTTCAGTTAAGGCAAAATGAGATGTAACACAGTAAAACGTCACTAATTATGACTGAAAGTGGGCTACTTTACTGAAACAATGTCAGTTGCATACTTTTTTACACACAGGGAGCTATAACAAGTAAGTATAATGCATAATGTAGCTACAATTCACTAATGATAAAGTAATTAGAATATTTAGAACTATTAGAATATTTAAAGCAAGTATCCTTTAGTTGAATGTGGGACATAGTTTTAAAGTATCTTCTAAGAGGATTAAAACGTAGTTTTCTGTAACAGACTTAATAGTTCCTTTATTGTCTGGTGTATAGAATTTATTTATTTGCAAATCTGTTGTTCACATGTAAACCAAATGCAAATTTCAGATCAACCTCTGCTCATTCACAAGTTTTAAAAATGTCAGGCTCCAAATTAATGAGAGTTAAGTGGAGTTAGGTGGCAACATTCCAGTAAGCCTTACACCATCCCAAAATCAATTCTGGTTTACAGAAAAACAATGAAAATGTTTAAAATTAATTTAATATGTAAAGTTCCTTTCTTTTCTCTTATATCCAGTTGACATTGAAATTAAATTTGTGAGAAAGAATAAATAATACATATCATATCCCAGCTCTCCACTGAACCCCAAAAAAATGTATCTTGTTTGCCTGTTTATAGACCTGCTTGGAAGAAAGAACCTCTCAAATCAATGTGTCCAAATCTGAGCTTGTGCTTTTGCACTGGCCCCTTCTCACCTTTCCCATGACTACCACCCCAGCTGGAACCCGCATCCTTTCTCACCTAGATAAGTACATCAGCCTCTAGCTTAGTCTCCCTTTCTTGGCCCTCACACCCTTTCACTATATCTTATCACACTAACCAGAACCATACTGTGCGTCAGAGGATGTCCCTCCTCTTCTTGGAAACCATCCATAGGATGTCTCTGCAGCTTGGAAACCTTTCCAGCTCGCTTGGCACAAACACCAGTGACATTTGCAATGGCCTGTAAGACCCACAGGTACTATCCCTGGTGAACTCTTCCCTCCTCTGGCTCACAACTCACTGCCAGACTGGCACCTCTGTGTTTGGCACATACCTGCACCCACCCACCTGCTTCAGGGCCTTCACACTCCTTGAAAGGGTTTTCACCCAGATCTCTGCATCACCTATGCCCTGGGTTTCTTCAGTTCTTAAAGAACACCTTTTTGCTGTAAAGGTCCTCCTTTCTGAAATGGTACCTGCTTCCCCAACACTTCTAGCATTTTTCTTCTTTACTAATAAAAATAGTTCTTAGATTAATCCAACATGATACACATTTATTTTCTGTGTTGTTGACTCATCCGTTGCAATGTGTAGACCATAGAAAAACACTTACATGAGCATGATCTATAATTAAAGAGATTTAAAGTGGTAGAGGGCCATGTGTGATGGCTCATGTCTGTAATTCCAGCACTTTGGGAGGCCAGTGGGAGGATCACTTGAGTTGAAGAGTTCAAGACCAGCCTGGTCTCTCTCTTTTTTAATAACCAGATGTAATAGTGTGTGCCTGTAGTCCCAGCTACTCATGGTGCCAAGACAGGAGGATCACTTGAGCCTGGGAGGTGGAGGCTGCAGTAAGCTGTGATCACACCACTACACTCTAAGTCTGGGTGACAGAGAAAGACCTTGTTTCTAAAAATAAATAAATAAAAATTAGAATAAATGATCAAGGTAGATTTGAAAAGGAAAAGGAGGGAAGAAGACATACACAGGAACTGTGTGAGTTTTTACACCTTAGCTGAAGTGTTGGCTGACCTAATAATTTATGAAAATAAAGAGCAAGGATGGCAATAAGCAAAGATGTAATTGAAAAAAAGGATGGCGATAGGCAAAGATTGTAATTGAAAAGACGATCATACATGATCTGAGAATGATCGTCTGGATAAAAACGTTTACGATGAATCAGTGATTGCCTCCTTCATGCTCCCTTTTTTCCTTTCATAAAAGAAAAAGTATGCAACATTAGTAGGTTTAATTGACTTAAAGTACTTAAAGCTACACACACACACACACACAAAAAAAAAAAAAAAAAAAAAAAAAAACATGTAAAAATCAGATCTCTCTGCAAACTGTGTGGTTCATGATTCTGAGTCCCTGACACAATACTGTTTTTGAAGGGTAGGACATTATTTAGTTAGCAAAAGATAACCATTTATTTTTTAAATCCAGGGTCTTGCTTTGTTGTCCAGGCTGGAGTGCTGTGGTGCCATCATTGCTCACTGTAATCTTGAGCTCCTGGATTCAAGCGATCCTCTTGCCTCAGCCTCTCAAAGTGCTGGGATTACAGGTGTGAACCACTGCACCCAGAAAATAACCATTATTTAACGTCTCTGCATGGTTGTGTATATTCTTTAAAAGTTATTGGATGTAATTCTGGCAAAGCATACATGTGTTCTAATGCACAGGTCTCTACTCAAATCAGTCTACATTTGACTGGGCCAGAGTCAATTCTTGGGATATACTGTAGTCAACAAAGATGCTCTTTCAGAGCCTCGAGGAGAAAATGTTCATTGTGCCCAGGTTCTGACTTTCAATAGAAATAGTAGCCATTATTCCTTAGCTTTTCCTTCATCCACAGAACCTTCCAGGTCTGCGTAAGCACAAAGTTTGAAAAATCTCCAAACGTAATATGCTAAGGAATCTCTGGCAATGCATATAACTCTGTACAAGCCAGATGATTATTTTCCATCCCAATTAAATGGCTTTTGATTGTAGCTTGCTGGGATAGTGTCTCTATGGCTGAAGGGCAAAGCATTGTCCTTAGTAGTCATGAAATCTTAGATTCTTATGCCTCATGTCTGCTATTACGTTGCCATTTTAGTTTTCAGGTGAGCCTTCAGTGAAAATATGCAGATTTAAAGTGTATTGGGAAAGGCAGACGGACCACCAAGTAAATCAGCCTCCACAGAACACAGCAGAGTAATGCCAACCCTAAACTCATCACAGTCCTGACCCTTAATGTTCTTATGCTTTTCAATGGGGGTGATTCTTAAAATAACGAATGAAGGGTGTTAGAAGGGGATAAGCACAGGGGCATGGTGAGTCACTTGCAGAGAAACCTAACCTGCCCTTAAAGGGAAGATTCTTGAAAAAAAAAAAAAATGAGTCCAAAGCTGAAGTCCCAAGGACAAAACTGAGAAGGCCAAAGCATTTGCAGGATTGGATTGGAAGCATCTAAGCAAAGTGGAAAATATGTAAGAGAATGCAGGTCAGAGGGAGAAGGGTAGAATGGCGTAGTCAGGGAACTGCAAGTAATTCTTGTTTCTGGAGCATGGAGTGAATAAAAGGAATAGTAAGAAATGAGACTGAAAAATAAACAAGGGTCCCATCGTGAGGATTTTTAATACAGCATCAACCAATTTCAGTTTTACCCTGGGGTCGCTAGGTTCTGAATGAAAGGTTTGTGAGCAGAGGATTTATATGCCCCAGTTTATGTTTTATAACATTACTCTGGCCAGGCTGAGAAGAGTGAGGGATCTAAGAGGCTGATGCAGGATCCTGAGAGATTCCTGAATTAGATGATGGGCATGAATATGAGACACTGCATAGATTCAAAGAAATTAGGGTATTAAGAATACCTTAGGATTTCACAGTGGTTGCTCTTTCACCTGATGTCCTCAGGCAAATCTAGCCTGACCTGTAGGTTTCTGGCTTGGGCAACTTGGTAGACTGTAATGCAGTTTACTGAGACCAGAAACACAAAAGAAGTAAAAAGATTCTACTTGCTGTTTTTATAGTGGTGAGTGATGCTTGTTTTTGGAGCGAGATACTGAGACCAGTTTCTGGAATTGTTAATTTGGAAGTGGTGGTATCCTCAAATGGACTTGTCCAGCACAAAGTTGAATTTGTAGCAACTTCCTGATTGTCTGTTAAACACCTTGCCAGGTCATAATTGAATTACTCTGAGCACAGTAAATAAAATCCTAAGTAATTTGATTATGCCACGTCAGTTAGTCATTTAAAAAGTATTTACAATATGTGCAAACTTGAGGCAGCATAGTGGAAAGACTGGGAATGATGCCAGTAATATAGACTGTGCATGTGCAATGAACACCGTGGAAAATGATTTGGGGTCACCAGTTGATTTAGCATCATGTTTTCCCATCTCCTGCGTTACCCTAATGTCCAGTAAGATAAAGTAGTAGCATATCTGGATTTACAGTGCCGAAGAAATCCAAATGCCCCTATGAGCTTTTCATCAGTGACTTTTGTACAAAAAGTCATCGCCAGCTTATGTCTGCTTGGAAACCAGTATGGCGTTCTGATTTATTTGCCAAAGAAAGAAAACATTAAAGAGCTTCACAGCAGAATGATAGATGATTAAATACCTATTTTTAGACATATTAATGTATTCCAAAAAATATGGTGATCATCAAAAATGTACATTTATGGTGGAATAAACTATTTCATAAGAGCGGGAAGTAATATCTGGAATGTGAATAGAAAATTAAGTTAACCATCCTATTTGGCTCATGAAATTATTTCTACATTAGTTATGAGAACAGCAGGGGGTGAGATAAAGCCACTGATGAGGGCAGTGAAGAAAAAGTGGTATAACATCATCTTTTAAATTTACATCTGCAATTTTACAAATGACAAGTGCATCTTCTAAATTTTCATCACCCACTGATTTTCTAAATAAAATCTACTATCACAAACTGGTCACTTTGGGCAATACATGTTTCCGTGCATGACTCAAGAATTGGTTTTAAAAAAGAGAAAAGGGAATGTTTTTCTTGTTTTTGTTTAGGCAGAATGGGGCCATTTATCCATGCACCTTCTTCTATATCCTTGAAGCCACTGTTACTGTTTTATTCATTCAACCTCAGCACCATCTTCTGGACATAAACAG